TTCTTCTTCTTCTTTCTTTTTCTTCTTCTTCTTCTTTTTTCCCCTTCTTCTTCTTCTTCTTCTTCTTTCTTCTTCTTCTTTTTTTCTTCTTCTTCTTCTTCTTCTTCTTCTTCTTCGTTCTTTCTTCTTCTTCTTCTTCTTCTTCTTTCTTCTTCTTCTTCTTCTTCTTCTTCTTCTTCTTCTTCTTCTTCTTCTTCTTCTTCTTCTTCTTCTTCTTCTTCTTCTTCCTCTCCTCCTCCTTTTACTTTTTCTTCATATTTTTTTCTGCTTCTTCTTTTTCTTTCTCCGCGTTCTGCCAGAAACGAGAGTGTCACGATGGGTTGTTGTTTACAGCTAGGCTGCGAGATCTGCGTCTTTCAGCAAAACCTTAATTAGTCGCATTTATAGATGTGCTCAAAGGAAATACCCCGATTGTTTTTCACTAAAATTGAATGCCGGAAACCACGTGGGGGATATAGCATAACGACACTGACGTGGTTTGGCAGGCATTGATGGGCACTTATAGACGTAAGGGAAACCATAGATAATATAGCACATCATCATTGGGCGTCTTCCGACGTATGGATGATCATTCTCATCATTATCTTGCAGTTATCCACCGGATTATTTGGTTGGTGAGCTGAAACATTTTCATGCCACGACAAAAGTCTATCAGTATTTTTTCCCCTCCCGTTACCTTCTTCTGTCCTTCTTTTCATAAATCTGTTTTTTTTTTTTTAAAGATATAACGCACTTTTAAAAACCATACTGGAGGAAAAGTCGAAGGCAAGAGAGCAAGGGGTAGGCAACGGTGCAAGTGGGAGGACAACATTAAGAGATAGACGGGCAGCAGTCTGAGAATGTGTACAACCATGACAAAAAAGAGAGCGTGTTGGAGATCCATTGCAGCCAACCTTCACTGTGAAGACGGCACCTGATTGATCCGTTCATCTTTTTAGTTGTTGCGACAAGTTTCTTGATTTCTGTTCAAATAACGCGGTCCAGTATTCAACTACCTCCTCTGACGCAATGTTTTCTTCTACATCAGACAATAGACAAAGGTAAGTCAGTGTGTGTATCATGTGTTGCAATATGTCGTATATTTGTGTCTTGCTGCATGTTGCAGCATTATACACACATGCGCGCGCACACACCCACACAAAAGTATACCCATGATATCATAGACACAAAGGCACAAACATTTCATGTAAATGTACAAAAAGCAGCTTTATTTCTCTCCTGTTATATACACACTGCGTGTAAATGTTATTTACAACAGATATTATAAACTGGAAAATAAGTAACTGGTGTAAATAAGACAACATAGGAAATGTAAAGTGCTCTTTCCGGCTTGAAGTTATCTAGACACTGTGGATAGTGGATAAACAACCTATTTCTGACTGAACCGGTAGTATAGCCGGTGCAGTATGAAGCGGCTGGGGCTGGAGTTTCAAAAAGCATCAAAAAGACAACAACAAAAAACTCCGGTGTGGTCCTTCTAAGTCTGAGTGCATCTGCCTGAGAGACAAGGATCCAAGCATCTGCACACAGATGAGTCATATCTGTCAAACGGATACACACGCAACACTCGGGTTTGAGAACAGGACTGAGGTCCAGAAGTGGATAAACAACCAGAACTTTCCATCAGAGTTTACAGCTGGTAAACGCGAAGAAGAAGAAGAAGAAGAAGAAGAAGAAGAAGAAGAAGAAGAAGAAGAAGAAGAAGAAGAAGAAGAAGAAGCGAGAAGAAGAAGAAGAAGAAGAAGAAGAAGAAGAAGAAGGGAGAAGAAGACAAGAAGGCGGGGGACGAAAAGAAGAAGAAAAGAAGAAGAAGAGAAGAAGAAGAAAAAGAAGAAGAAGAAGAAAAGAAGAAGAAGAAGAAGAAGAAGAAGAAGAAGAAGAAGAAGAAGAAGAAGAAGAAGAAGAAGAAGAAGAAGAAGAAGAAAAAGAAGAAGATTCTGGCGTGAAACATGTATATCGTTGGCGCCCTGCCAAGGTGAGTATATAACAATGTTACAAGCCATAATTGTGTCTTCTTTACACCGCTTCAACCTATGGAAGAAACCCACATCGCTGTGTACATACTTAACTAGTTTATTCTTAGATTTTTCATTGTAACCATTTTTGACTCGGTCAGTCTGGCAGCTTAATTTGCTTTTACTTTTAATCATGCGAACACGGTGGCAGAAACACTGTGGGTAAGACATCAGCTTGCGATGGGGCAAATCTCCCTGCTCGCCCTAGGTTCCAATTTAACCACGCCCACGTGTTTAAGGTTATGATGTAAATTCAGGAAACAGTCGCTATAAAAAATAAAACCTCAGAAGATGTTATGTAATCATGTAGAGAGTTCAACCGGTGGCTCCTCTGTTTACCTACGCTCCTTTATTTTTCGGTGCACTGTCGTTAAGACGTCACGGCCTTTGTATGCACTGTGAGGTCACGTGCTAACCACTCTTGACATCATTGACCCCGCTGCTTCGAGATACCAGCTAAGTGATTCTGTGTATCTGTGTAGTATTGTTTAATTTGTATGTGCTGATGAAGGCTCAATAGCCACAACGTTCACGTTTTGTTTGTATTTGTTATATTGTCAAGCTCGTCAATATACTTTTCGTTCGGTTTTATATCTTTTCTTGACATCATTGATAACAAAACTGACAGGTTACAAGACAATGACGTTGTTACTGTCAGTTCTATGACACTTATCAGGTTTTCATTTGAAGGCCTCTTGTAAGTAAGTACGTGACATTTACCCCGCCAGCACATCACACGAGCGATAAAGACCCGGTGACACAAAGTGCCACGATGAGAATGAAGATCACCTGTGAAGAGGTCCCAGAAACCCCTTTTAGCCGCTACAGGTTGGCTATAATCAGGTTACCCTGCGGAAGCGAGTCGTTTGAGGGCCTCTCGTAATTTAGTATGGAAATATCACCACTGTGGGTGGTGTGGAGCTAGGCATATGCCTGCGTGTGTGCATTTGTGCTCGTGAGTGTGTGGGTATGTTGCGTGTCTGTGTGCGCGCGTGTGTTTGTGTGATTAAAAAGAGAGGCGGGCGAGGTTTAATGCCTGTGTTTGTGTTTTTCCCTTGTGTTGTATAGCTTGACTTTACAGTTTTCTCCCTTAAAAAATTAGTTTTGTTTTTCTAAGTTATTTCCCTTTATCTAAATCAGCTCACTTTTCTAAAGAAGCAGGTCGCAAGAGAGAACAATTATTGTTTATGTTAAAGGTTAAGTGTGCCCTAAATTATGCAACAGTAAAAATTCTTATCTGCCAGGTCTTGTCCCATCATTTTAGAGAGCTAGTTTTTCCCTACGACCAGATCTTGGCGTTATAAGATGAGGTGATTGGCTCCTTTCCTCTGCGGTTTATATCCTGATATATAACTCTGTGACTGGTTGGGTTGATATCAGAGCTGAACTAAATGTCACAGTAAACACGGGTGATGCTATCCACTGTACCAGATAAGACGCCGATTTTGTTGACAGAATTAAATCAACCACTACACCAATAAAGAGTCTGTGATTGGTTGACAGATTGAATGATTTTCTACCCACTAGGACATCACACAAGCGAAAAACACCCGATGACACAATGTGCCACCATGTGGATGAGGATCCCCGTGGAAAGGTCCCAAAAACCGCGTTCAGCCCTTAGGACATATTTATGGCCGGGCTATATTGCGGCCCCTGGCAAGAGCCAGGTGGGGCTTCAAATAACGAAAAATGTCATCCTAAAAAAGACAGGAAGTATTATTGATAGATAAATTGGTTGACAGATTTACGTTGTATAATATACCAGATAAGGGGCTGTAATTGGTTGAGAGAATGAGGTTATCCATTATACAAGATGCTGTGATTGGTTGAAAGAATGAGGTCATCCACTATACCAAATAAGATGCCGTGATTGGTTGATAGAATTACGCTGTCCACTATGCCAGCTAAGACTGTGATTTGTTGACGTAATTAGGTTACCACTGTAGCAGATAAAAACCCTGGATTAGTTGACACGTTGCCACTACGACAGAAACAAGACAGCATTATTTTAGGATGTTTTTTTTTTTTTTTTCTTTATCAGGTCTGCAGTGTAGAGCTCTACGCCTCAGTGTAGATGAAGACAAACCCTTATCAACCTTCAACATTACACTCTGGCCATAGAGAGAAGATAGGGGGACTAAGCTCCCTTGGGTAAAAGTAGGTGTTCATGACTTGTTTAACTGTGCAATAAGAATAACAATTATTATTATTTTTGTGCAGCATGGCATTTAGAACAAATCATATTTTTAAAATAATAGCAAATGTATCAACACATGCTTACAAATAGACGTCAGTATATAATGGAGGCTTTGGGCGCTCTGGGAGTCGCCGTGGCATAGTGGCTAGACGCTCACTTCTGGATCGGAAGGTTGTAGGTTTGCTCCATGACAGAGCCGGTTTTTTCCCAAAATGATCCTGGCTCCTAGGTTGACCCAGCTTTGAGTGGGTACCAGGTGCAGTCCTGGAAAGTAAAGACGGATGGCATAATGCTGAATCACCCATTAAGTGCCGATTGGTCTATAAAATATAGGTCTAGCCCTATATGCCATAGGTGTTGAAAATTGTCATTTACTTTTTGGGGGGTTATATGCTCCCTGAAAATTATTCGCCCACTCCCCGATTTTGTGGGGGGGGGGGGGGGTGGGGGGACTCAAAGTACATGAGCACCCAATGTCCGGCGCTGATGTCCACAATCCGGGAGAGAGCAGTGGGGGGGGGGGGGGGCTGAAACCTGTATACACCTCTACCACCTAGGGTAAGAGAGGAACGACTTGACAAACCTATATGCACCTCTGAAAGAAAAAATAATAATGAAACATATCAGCACAAAGCAATTTTGTAAAGGGTTCATTATCCAACAAAAGGCAAGTAGTATTTGGCTTTTGATTTGATCTGTTTTTACAATCTGGCTTCTGCTATGATGAACTGTACCGGGAAAGGAACATTTGACTGCTTCAATATACACGAATCATCTCTGGGTGATCAAGATTCCCTGGAGTCTGAGAAATGGGACAGTTCTTGTGATCTGCTGCCCAAAGACAAAGCACGTCTTCGGAAAAATCCCTTCTCGCAAGTTTTAAATGTCAGCATCTTCTTGACTTCATCCCTAAATCTATCCGAGGTAAAGCTGTAGATGAACGGATTGGCCATGTTATTTACAAGAGGACACAGTTTGGCCAAATCATAGAAGGCCTTGCCCGCGGGACTCATAGCGCCCTCGACGGACGTCTCGGTCATTGACAGGACCAGGGTCACGAAGTAAGGGGCATAACTGGCGAAGAAGACAACGGTAACAGCAATGAAAACCATGGCGGAGTTTCTCATCACTTGGCTCTGTTTTTCTTTCTTTAACGCCTCGGTTCCCGTAGCAAGCGAGGGGCGTCGTTTGAGCTCGTCGTGTTTGTTGGATAGGTCGCGTAGAGTCTTCACAATTTTATAGTAGAGAACGACGAGGACTGTGGATACAGTGATGAAGACGAAGACTAACAGGGCGGAGTAGACGAGGAAGATGGGCGTGTTCTTGCTCTCGTTGCTGATGAAGCAGTAGGTGATCTGAACGTGGTAGTTTTGGTAGTATATTGTGCTCATGCCAAAGATCCAGACACAGGGAACGTTGATGGCGCAGGCAAAGATGACGCTGACCGCAAACAACTGCTTACTCAGGCGAGGTCCTACCCCGGTCTTTCTGAGCAAACATAGCTTTAAAAACCTGAAAACAGACGGCACAAGACGAGAGGGTTAAAAAGCTTTTAAAACCTGAAAACAGATCGCACAAGACGAGAGGGTTACAGAGCTTTAAAAACCTGAAAACAGATGGCACAAGACGAGATAGTTATAGAGCTTGATAAACCTGAAAACAGGTGGCACAAGACGAGAGGGTTACAGAGACAAACATATAAATCTGATACATTTGCATTTACTTTAAACACACACACATACACAACAACAACAACAACAACAACAACAACAACAACAACAGCAACAACAACATAAAAAGTCATGGCTACTGCAAGGAATATAATTGTCACATAATTTATGAATACAATTGTGGAAACTGCATACAAGATTACTTTAGAGATCATCTGTGATTTTCTTCGAATCTGTTCATCTAGTTTTTTAAGCGTACGGGCTTTGTCGTGAACTAGTAAAATCGCGCCTTGTCTATGCGTGTTTTTTTTTTTTTTTTAAATAGTATAGTTTTCTATGACGCGACACTGGAACATTGATTTTGAGAGTGAACGCCTTTCACAATGCCGGATTTGATAGAATTAAATAACCTAATGCTGTGTGGTGGTGAGAGAAAACAAGGGGGGGGGGGCAAATTGGGGGGGGGGGAGGAGAAGATGTAAAACTAAAAAGATAAATGGTGATTGAAAACAAAATTCATATTAGAAACTCACTGAAGGTAAAACGGGCAACAAAAAAACATGATGATATTTCGGCTGATGTCTTCATCAGCGTGAAACGAAAAGAAGAATATTTAGCCATGAAGACAAAATAACAGGATGGCACCGTAAGTCGATATGGCGAGAAATATGTTTCTATATCTTTTCTGTCATCCCAACGGTTTCTCTATGGGTTGTTTTGTACTGAAAAAAGCAACAACATGATGATGATGGTGGTTGTGTTGGTGGATGTGGTGGTGGAAGTGGAGTTTGTGGTGGAGGTGGTGTGCGGGTGTTGGTGATGATGGCGAATATGGTAATTATTGTGTTGCCTGTGGTGGTATAAATGATGATGGTGATGGTGGTGATTGTAGAGTGGTGGTGGGATTGGTTTTGGTGATTGTGGGGTAGCGGTGAGGGTGATTGTGGGGTGGTGGTGGGATTGGTTGTGGTGATTGTGGGGTAGCGATGGTGGTGATTGTAGGGTGGTGGTGGGATTGGTTGTGGTGATTGTGGGGTAGCGATAGTGGTGATTGTAGGGTGGTGGTGGGATTGGTTGTGGTGATTGTGGGGTAGCGGTGAGGGTGATTGTAGGGTGGTGGTATGATTGGTTGTGGTGATTGTGGGGTAGCGATGGTGGTGATTGTAGGTTGGTGGTGGGATTGGTTGTGGTCATTGTGGGGTAGCGATGGTGGTGATTGTAGGGTGGTGGTGAGATTGGTTGTGGTGATTGTGGGGTAGCGGTGAGGGTGATTGTAGGGTGGTGGTATGATTGGTTGTGGTGATTGTGGGGTAGCGATGGTAGTGATTGTAGGTTGGTGGTGGGATTGGTTGTGGTCATTGTGGGGTAGCGATGGTGGTGATTGTAGGGTGGTGGTGGGATTGGTTGTGATGATTGTGGGGTAGCGATGGTGGTGAATGTAGGGTGGTGGTGGGATTGGTTGTGGTGATTGTGGGGTAGCGGTGAGGGTGATTGTAGGGTGGTGGTATGATTGGTTGTGGTGATTGTGAAGTAGCGGTGAGGGTGATTGTAGGGTGGTGGTGGGATTGGTTGTGGTGATTGTGGGGTAGCGATGGTGGTGATTGTAGGGTGGTGGTGGGATTGGTTGTGGTGATTGTGGAGTAGCGGTGAGGGTGATTGTAGGGTGGTGGTGGGATTGGTTGTGGTGATTGTGGAGTAGCGGTGAGGGTGATTGTAGGGTGGTGGTGGGATTGGTTGTGGTAATTGTGGGGTAGCGGTGAGGGTGATGGTGGTGACAGAGGTATTAGTGGTTATGGAAAGAGTGTTACGTCATAAAATTTCATGACAAAACATTGAGACTGAGATATCCCCCGACTCCCGTGCACCCACAGCTCACCTGTCAACAGCAATGATGACCAGGACACAGCTGGAGGCAATGGCAGTGCCCAGGGCCACGAAAGAGGTGAATATACAGGTGGCCACGAACGCCGAAGATCGGGAACGGGCGGTCAGATAGAGCAGAGCCGGGCAGGCTAACGTTAACGACGCCAGATCAAGTACTGCTAACATCTGGAAAAATGAAAAACTAATTATTCATTGATTTTTTTTTTTCAAGGAATACATTTAGTATTAGAAGTAGCTTTAACAGTAACATAGTCATCATCTTGATCATCACTATCATCATTCTGATAGTCGTCATCTTTACCTTTGTCCTAATCTTGATTATACTGTCTTCTTAGAACAGCAAGGAATTACATAGTTTGGCCAGCTGGTCAGAATAGAACTAAATCAGTCAGCAGCTAGAGCGTTCTACTTGACAACAGCGGACTATAAGGCAAGAGACCCTACAAAAACGCTTTATGACATAAGACAAACTTGGCAACAAGTTAAAAAAAACGAAAATGTCTAATTCGTTTCTGCAACGCTTTACGGGATAAACAACAGGACAAAAGAGAAAAGGTGGAAGAAGATTACAACAACCAGCATTTTGATCGCTGTTATCATCCCTACAATAATCATTATGACATGATTAGAATAGTTATCATCATTACAAATGCCACTATCATAAGCAACAGCTTGTCCCCGATTATCATTAGCGATTTCGTCAGCATCGTTACAATTTTTTTTTTCATTATCAGCATCATCATCTGATGATCATTAAGTGTAATGTTTCATGAACTCTGGTATTGTGTATTAATGTAATGTGCTGATGAAGGATTTTTAGCCGCAACATTTACTTGTCGTTTGTATTTGTGATGATATGAAGCTAGCTAGTTCAATTTTTCGTTTGGTTTTTTATCTTTTCAGTATATTTTTATCGACTCATCAGTACCCAATAAGTGATGTTAATATCACGCCGACCGCCTTTGCTTCCCACGACAATACGTCGTATCCATTTTATGCTAGATCATTCTGAGAACCAAGAGGAACAAAATGGGCATCGATAAAGCTGACGTTAGTTCCTATCTGTTTGCAAATTTGCCATCCAAGAGCCAGTTTTCTAGGGTAAATAACTCTATTTTTGTTCCAATAACAAATTTGAACATTGTCTCCCTTTATTCATTGGAAACAAGAAAACAATTTTTCCTGGAATGTGAACTGTCTCTGCCCCATCACCGACCTCGAACACTTTGTTTCTGTTCCTCTTTCTTCTTTCTTCTTGTTTTCTTCTTCTTCTTCTTCTTCTTCTTCTTCTTCTTCTTCTTCTTCTTCTTCTTCTTCTTCTTCTTCTTCTTTTTTTTTTTCTTCTTCTTCTTCTTCTTCTTCTTCTTCTTCTTCTTCTTCTTCTTCTTCTTCTTCTTCTTCTTCTTCTTCTTCTTCTTCTTCTTCTTCTTCTTCTTCTTCTTCTTCTTCTTCTTCTTCTTCTTCTTATTCATCATCATCATCATCATCATCATCATCATCATCATCATCAACATCTTCTTTTTTTCTTTTTCTTCTTCTTCTTCTTCTTCTTCTTCTTCTTCTTCTTCTTCTTCTTCTTCTTCTTCTTCTTCTTCTTCTTCTTCTTATTCATCATCATCATGATCATCATCATCATCAACATCTTCTTCTTCTTCTTCTTCTTCTTCTTCTTCTTCTTCTTTTTCTTCTTTTTCCTTCTTCTTCTTCTTCTTTTTCCCATTATTATTATAATGATGATGATTATTATTTTTTTTTCTTCTTTTCTGTTTCTCAAACCAAGAACTTATATCCTAGCAGCAACAGCAGCAGTAGTAGCAGCAGTAGCAGTAGTAAAAGTACTGGTATAATAATTTTGGTTTAGCTACACTTGCGAACTAAAACTGGCAGGTTTGCAGATCTGCACTCTTTGGAAGTGCCCAGCGAAGCGAAAAGTCGATTTTTTCAGGTCTATCGCGGTGAGAGAAGAAACACGTGGTCCTGATTTTTCTTTGCAAGGTTCTTAGCGCAACGTAGGTTCATCGGACTGAGTCGAGAGATGGATGGGGTCACTGGTTTCGTGTTGTGGCGGTACGTTCAATAGATAGATTGTGTTAGATCTAAATTTCCACTATGCATCCTCGCTCGGAGATTGTGATAGTAGTTGGAGTGATTAGCACCTGGACTATTCGAACACATTGTTGACTGTTAATGTAGTGTTATCTGTGAAGCACGCTTGTTTTGTATTCAGGAAAATAAACAGATGTTGAATACGGTGATTACATTCCATTTGTTTGATTCAAAATAGACAAGGGTCATGCACGTAGTCTGGCTAGGCATTGCCTATTTAGTCATATGTTGTATTTGTTGAATAATTTACTACTCTTACATTCATCGCCTGGGCCATGAATTCAAATCATGGTTTCTCTACCAGAAGAACACTTGTCTTTTCGCTACTTGTCCTGGTTTTGCAGTACAGCAGGGAACTACTTTTAGTCCTAACCAAATTTCTTTCCTGATCTGCAGTGGCGGCAGCAGCAATAGTAATTGTAGCAGTAGCATCAATAGAGGTAGTAATTACATCAGCTGTTGTAGTTGTCGTTGCTTCTGTAGCAGCAGCAGTAGTAGTATTAGTAGTAGCAGAAGTAGTGGTGGTAGTAGTAGCAGCAGCAAGAGTTGTAGTAGCAGTATTAGCAGATATAGCAGTAGTAATAGTAGTAGTAGAAGTAGTAGTATTAGTAGAAGTAGCAGAAATATCAGCATTAGAAGCTGCAATAGTAGTAGTAGCAATATAGGTAGTAGTAGTGGTGGTGATGGTGGAAGAGACAGTGGTGTTGGTAGTGGTGGTTGTGGGGATGGTGGAGCAACAATATTACCCACCACATGAAGAAAGGCAAAAACGATAACAACTCCTTGAACTTACCCTCTTAAACAACGTGACACTGTTACTTGTCCACCGGAAGTGGTAAATATAGAACACCAAAAGATTACCCACAATGCCCACGACCATCATGGCGGGGATGAAGAGGAACTCCGCGCCGTGCCAAGTAAACAGCTCTCCTTCCGCCCAGCTGGTGTTGCGAATCCCCTGCGACTTGATTGTCGTTGACGCCATGGCGACCTCGCTGCTGATGACTGCCAAAAGATAAAACTGTCAGCACAGTTGATCCGGTTTAGAATCATATATATATATGTCACAAACAACGCGCCGTGCCTGATCGGTTAGTGTCTACGTACGTATTAAACAAGGTATGGTGTGCTTCTAATGTTTTATGTTTGATCTGAACAAACTTAGGGGGGGGGGGAAGGGCTAGTTAAGAGTCGCTGAGAGCTAGGGGGTTCCCCCCCCCCCTCACTCTTTCTCTTTCCCCCAAGCCTCCTAGAAAATTTGAGGTTTTGAACAACAGATCAGCATCATGGCATACTGGTGTAAACATAAGTGCTCCGTTCTTTTTCTCAAGTCTGAGTCCGAAGAAGCTCAGCACAGTGCACAGGCTCTGTAGCACCGGCAAGGATCCTGAAATACTTTGGGTAGATTTTTAACTCTAAATTTTGCCCGGACAGCGCCGTTAAGCTACTCTTTTCGATTTCCAACTGCCAAGGGATTTTTTACGTGCGCAACAATACACACGGGCGTCCGATCTCACTGCCCAAATACCAGGGGAAATTAGGCCTACTAGATGTCCAAGTCCACGTGAGAAAATCCCAGCCCTTACCGGGGATTGAACCCGGAACCTCTAGCCCTCGAGGCTGACACCATGCCTCAAGACTACGCAACACCTTATCTAAAAACAACTGTAAGTGGACTGAACCACCCCCCCCCGCCCGCCCCCTCCCACCCTGCTATCTCCAACCCCACCTACTCAATCCCCAGACCCGGCAATACATATGTTTCCTATTTTGCAAGTCCGCGGGTATAAACTTGAGAACCCCTGGCCCGGTGTACGTGCAATCCTATATAGTACTTATCTCTGCCAGCACTATTCAACACATTTTTTTTTTTTAATATGGTATTTATGACTCAGGGGTTCTCTATCATTTGTCTTTCTCTTGAGGATCAGGTAGCTATGTGAACTACGTGCCTACAGGTAAACCTCTCACTTCACCTGCGAGATAGCGCCCTAGACTTTTTCAAGTAACTTGTTTGTTCTGTCACATATTGTTTGTGAAATCATTGATGATGAATTAAACTAAACATACCTGGTGACAGGTGAGACACGGTGTCTGAGGGCCGCAGGTGGAAGATGTAGCCACCAGGTGGAGGGAGTGACTTCCACCAGGTGATATGATACACCTGGGCCCTATGTGTGTGAGTCTGCCTAGTTTGTTATGTCGTGCACAAGAAACCGGTCTGTATGAGAGTATATGGCTGGCATTCAGCGAGAGAGAGGGAGAGAGAGAGAGAGAGAGAGAGAGAGAGAGAGAGAGAGAGAAAGAAAGAAAGAGGGAGAGAGAGAGAGAGAGAGAGAGAGGCAGGTAAGTAGATGAGTGAGTTGGGGTGTGAGCAGATATTTCGGTCTCGTGTATTAAATTCACAGAGGCAGATTCAACGAGAAAGAACGATGGGGAGAGGAAATGAGACATTTGAATGAATGAATGAATGAATGAATGAATGAATGAATGAATGAATGAATGAATGAATGAGTCAGTTGGGGAGTGGGTAAATATTGTAGTTTCATGTAGGAATTCAGATGAATCAGATTATTAAGATTTAGAGAGAAAGAGATGGGGGGGGGGGGGGGGGGTAGAGAGGCAGAGTGAGAGATATTGAAGAATGAATGGATGAGTCGGCACATATTTCAGATGACTGAGATTCAGCGAGAGAACGAGAAAAAAAAACACTGAGAGAGAGAGAGAGAGAGAGAGAGAGAGAGAGAGAGAGAGAGAGAGAGAGAGAGAGAGAGAGTTTATGAAAAGCAAATACATGGCGAATCAGCGAAGAGGAGATGGAAAGAATGATGGCGATAGAATGGTGTAAGGGTTTATTAACAGTTTGCTGTTGCATTAAAGGGTGGGTATAATGTACAGGTAGACATACACATCAAGAGACAGACAACTAATATACAGACAAAAAGGAGATAGCAGTGATTCCCATTACAACGAGCAGTTACAACCACACAGAAAAATCAAACCAACGACTTTCCCTTGTGACCCCGTCCTAGGGTCAGCTATCAAGTTCACGGATTTTAATCTGCATAAATATTTAAATTTTTGTTTCTACAGATGACACAAGTTGTTATTTCCCTGCACGATTTTATCACCAATGATCTTTGTAAAGTTATCTTTTTTTCCCCAGTTGTCCAAGACATGCAAATGAGTTGTTTTGTCATTTTTGCTCTGGTCGTTATTTTTTACATTGTTGGTTTTGTTCGGCAGTGATACTTTTTCGTTTACTCTGGTTGCCATGACTACCGCACATATTTTATGATAGTTGGACAACCGCTACGAGGCTGGGACGAGTTTTGAGTGTTAAGTCTTGAGCTAAGAACTAACTCGGGACATTCTCCTAAACGCTCCGTCCTCACGTTCAGCAGTCGGCGAAGAGTCCCAGTTCCGATGGTTCCAGATGCTATTTAATTATATTTCATTCCTGCCTTTCCTGTGAGTGCAAAATATCGACCAGATGCGCTGCTCACTCACAACTGTACCATTCTCTCCAATATCATAATGATCTGTATTGGTCACTTGCTCCCAAAGGGCTTTTACCACACGTAGCTTGTCTTCCATACATAAACTACCCATTGGTGCCGAACCAGTCAATCTGTCTGCCTGTTCGTTTCCCAACACTCATGCTTGTTCTGGAGAAAATATCACAAGAACGCTAAATGCGAGGGAGGAGACATTTACATCACCCCTCCAGATCAGGAAGAGGTCAAGGAACGAAGAGAACACGTCATAAATAATGCAATGGCAAACACTGGTCCAGAGATGACATACACATGTGACAGCCTGGAAAACGCCAAAGACTGCTGTTCAGCAGCAGGTCGATGTTGGTTTATCTGGCCGACACCTCTGGTTTAAAAACGGGGAAAAGTCTGTTCACTGGGTATAAAAAGGCCATCTGACTCAGTATTTGTCTATTTGACTTCTAAACGGACCCTGTGGAGACCTGCCCAGTTGTTGTAGCTCTGCACTTGGAGACAGACAGCGTGGGTATGGGCGACCGCAGGAAAGGCCGTTGTCAGACTGATTTTAGGCGGTGGTATGTTTCCATAGTTAAATTTCTCTAGTAGTTAAACTGTAGAAATATGTCGGTGTTTATTCTCGCTAGGGTGGCAGGTCGTTATAGCTGATTTGTTGGTCTGCTAGTAGCTGCCAGTATTTTGTTATTCTTTGGTTTACTAAGTGCTTGGTTAGTTTTCTGCTGGGTCACTCATATACCTTCTAGTTTGTGCTTTAGTGTACTTAATGTTCGGAGTGTGTCATCAAGTATTATTATTTTATGTCATCAAGTAAATAAAGTTTCTGTATTTGTTGACTTACATTCTTGTTACTTTAGTTAGAGTACCTAGGTTTTACTGTTACACTAAATTAGACCCTACACAGAGCATATCTTGTCAGGGTGAGATACTTTTGATCTTACCCCCGCCTAAACGAACTTTTTCTCTTCTTTTTTCTTGTTACTGAGGCAGCTGAAGGTTGGGTTTTGGCTCCCACTCTCTAAGTCACATTGTTAGAGCTTTTGTAGGTTCGGAATCGAAGAGATTTCAATTAGTATATTTTCCTTTATAGTCATTTCTTCTTTTTTTTTCCATTACAAGATACCCCTTCTGCTTTGCTTCTAGTGCACACATATTGTAGAAGATTGTTTTAGCACGAGCAGGCTCTCCTAGGTACACTTGCTATCGCTTTGGGCTGTGAGATTCCCGAACACCACCTCCCCCCCCCCCCCCCCCCCCCCCCCAATATTTCCGCACATAAACTCTATCATCTGGAAAGAGTGCCAATAAAAAAATTAAAAAAACATCCAGTGGGGAAGGACGGTGGCGAGGTTTGACTGTGACGGCTGTAAACGCCGCTGACAAGTTACATTCATTATAACTGCTTACTGTTTGTAACAGACAAACCGTTCTGTTGACGAGCTCCTCAAGCTTTTCCAGAGTATTACCCTGGCGAAAAGTGCGCTCGCTGTATGTTTACGTCACTCGTGCAGGAAACTGTAACATGTGAAAGCTACCAATTACTAGTACTATAATACCAGCTGCGCATGTATACTCTCAACAGAGGAGGGATGAAGAAGAATATACGTGATACACATCCAGTGTAATCGTTACATGCTAACACGTACACTTGCGAATATATCTCGCCTCGCCACTGCAAGGGCAGGGTAACAATATGACACTACCTAGCACCATATATCCAGCATGTTTTCGGACGTGAAAGAGACTCTCAGCTAGGCCCTAGATGTACTACTGGACAGGCCGTTAAGCATTGGGCCACATAGAGTCAGAAGCGCAGACAATAAATGTAGAGAGACTCTTGTATACAGAAAAATTGATTTTTTAAAAGCTTGCCAGGAGGTGGTGATGATGGTGATAGGTGGCGGCGGTGATGATGATGGTGGTAGTGATGATGATGATGGTAGTGGTAGTGGTGATGATGATGGTAGTGGTAGTGGTGATGATGGTGGTGGTGGTAGTGGTGATGATGGTACTGGTAGTGGTGATGATGGTGGTGGTAGTGATGATGATGATGGTAGTGGTAGTGGTGATGATGATGGTAGTGGTAGTGGTGATGATGATGGTGGTGGTAGTGGTGATGATGGTAGTGGTAGTGGTGATGATGGTGGTGGTAGTGATAATGATGGTGGTGGTAGTGATGATGATGATAATTTAACAAAGAAGAGACAAAGAGCACAATCTATATTGTGGCATGTGATGCTGTATGATCCATCTAAAATGTGATACAGGGAGCCTCCGTGGTGTAGCAGCTAGACTCTCTTCTGCGGATCGTAAAGTCGTGAGTTCAAATCCTGATAGAGCAAAACTTTCTTCGACTATGAGCTTGACTCTAAGGTCGACCCAGCTCTAAATGGGCACCAGGTAAAGTCGTGGAAAGCAACGCGGCCGGCGAGATGTTGACCGCATCACCTATCGAGTGCCGATATGTCCATAA